GGCATTTAGTCATTTAGTGCATCGTGGCATTTCGGAATTGTCAAACATTTCATACTTTATAAAACATTCTTCGGCGGTATTGACAAAACAGGATTGTATGGAAATAAATAAAAGTAAAACAAAAATACTGGTATGCAAGGGAAGAAAAGTAGAGAAGCAGCGAAAATAAAAACAGAAAACGAAAAATTAGAAGAAATGGCTGATTATAGGTATCAGGAAGTCAGACAAGTCAGGATGGAAGGAGTAGTAGAGACATAAAGCAGAGAATGCTCGCGAACGGTTAATTTAGAAATTCGAAAAATATTGTTAAAGGTGTAGGTCTGGAGCGCGGCGGTGTACGGGTGCGAAATATGGACGGTGGGCGCACCGGAAAAGAAAAGGTTAGAAGCGTTCGAAATGTGGGGTTACAGGCGAATCATGAGAATACCGTGGATAGAGAAGGTTAGAAATGAAGAGGTATTAGAAAGAATAGGAGAACAGAGGGCTCTATGGAAGTCAATAAAAATAGGCGAGATACGTTGGTAGGACACCTTCTCAGGTATGAAAGTCTAGTCAGAGACATATTAGAGGCAGAAACGGGAGTTAGGAGGAGTCGAGGTAGACATAGATTATATTAGTGTTCGCAAATAGTTAACGATGTGGATTGTTCTAATTTTAGGGAAATGTGAAGATTAGCTCAGGATAGGAATTCAAATTAATTGAAAAAAGCAAGATATTCATTTGTCGGAGAACAATAAATTCGATGTCTTTCAATATTTACCGTCACGAGAAGTAGTAAAAGTGGTTATAATCGCATTGTTAACTTTATTTATTGTTAAGTTTATGTATTTATTTTATTATTAACTAATGTTATGTTAAATTGTTAGATCCGTAAGAATATTAAAATAGTTTCAAAAGTTTGTCATATAAGTACCTACTGAAAAAATTGCCATGACGGTTTTAATGTAAAATGTTCGAAGTTATTAACGAATATAATAAATTGTGTATTACGACTAATGTAGGTACCACCATGCTGTAATTTTAAGGAAAAATAACAAAATTGAATATAATACTTTCGTTTTAATGTAAAAATTGGAATTATTTTTTATAGTGTGTTGTTTTAAGTACGACCCTGTTCAATGTTTCAGTGTCCTCTTAAAAGAATGTACTATAGATGCGCAGTCGATGATCACGTAGCAACCCTTGCGTTTTCTATTCTTTATTATTCATGACGTTTTTTAGTTTTATTCGCTTCAGGTTAAGTTTTTGTTCCTACCTCTATTTCTTGGATGAAACTATAAAATTGTTCATGAATGAAATTACCTCAAATTCAGAGAAAGTGAAGGAAATAATAGTAGAGATGAGAAAACGAACAAAAAGAGGCAAGTAGGAGCTGAGAGTAGGATCATTTGTTATGTTTTAATAAGTTTTGACCATTCCTTTTTTTTTTTCTTTGTCAAGTTTAATGCTTCGCTACATGAAAAAAGGAAAAACGGAATCCTTATTCATAAGACCATCACGTAGTTGTCGATTCTGTGTTTATGTGATTCTAAACAGCTGTTTTACTAAGATCATTTGACAAAGAAAGATGAAGTTGACTGTAGGTTGACGTAAAACAGATTCTTGGTGTGAACATTTGAAAAAATACCTCCCCGGAAGTTTTAGGGAGAGAGAAACCAATACGTATTTTAAATATTGTCTAATATTAAATGCCATCGAATGTTTAAAATATTTAATATATAGAAGTATCGGATGTTGAAGTTATAATAAATCAGAAATTCTCTTTGAAACATAATTCAACCTTCGATTTAATAAATCAAGAAATAAAAGAAAAACATTCAACTGAAAATCGAAAACTAAATTAATCAACTACTGTCACTGAACAAATTGGATTAAAAGGGAAAAATCGCCAATGAATTTTGTTGCTGTGAAAGTTTAGATACGAATTTACTTTTTCATTCTGGTTTAGAACTTACCCACTCATTCAAACAATTTAAATGTAACAAGGAGTCGATTGAAGATTACCAGGACAAAATGGAGGGTCACCGTCACATGGATGCTTTTGACGATTTATTTACGTTCTGTGGTGTATCGACGCCGACGCTATGTAGGGTATTGGAATTTTATCTAGCTGTAATGAAGTAGAAATATCTGAAGCAACTCGTTTGAAAATATTACGCGAGAGATTTTGGAAAAACGAAATGCAGGAGAAATTGATTACTTGATGCTGTAGTAAGGTATAAGAAAAACGCATGATAAATGAATATATGTACATCTAAAGCATTTGCTGATAGTTTGATATAATCCTGAAACTAAGTGTTGAATTCATTGAATTCGTTCTTATTTGGCCGTTTTGGGATATAGCGGTTTATTATCCTAGCCCTTGGACTGTCAAAAGCGTCTGAACGAGAGACTGGAGTCGCTCATAGAGAGATTCTCATTTCGTATCCAGTCTCTGAACGAGAGACTCGAGTCGCTCATAGAGAGATTCTCATTTCGTATCCAGTCTCTGAACGAGAGATTCGAATCTCTCAATTTTTCAGCTTTATTCATTGTCTCTCTGTGAGAGACTCGAATCTCTGAATTAGCAATTTTATCGTTCGAGTCTCTCATACAGAGACTGTGAGAGATCCATAAAAACACCTAGGCAATAACTGAGGGACTGTGAAAGACTGTGAGACACGCTCTCAGAGACGCTAAAAGACTTTAAAAGACTCTGAGAGACTGGAGAGAGACTGAAAATTTTTGTCTAGGGTTCGCCCCTGATTAAAATTCAAATATGTATTAAGAAATAGCCTTGAAACATATATTTCTGGGAAACCTAAGCAGCTACCGTTATCACCCCCTTGGAGGGAAAATACTAATAGAAAGACGAGACAATTTTAAATGTTGAATAAAGCATTGCACTTAGAGCAGTCAAAGGTATCAGTCAACAGTAAAAACGTAATAAACACTAAGTATATATCAAATAATGTAGTGGATAATATTTCTTAATGATAGATGTCGTATGATGACATGAAGGCGCTCAATGAGTAATGATCGTGACTTACTTTATAAAAGTTTAGTAGAAATAAGTAAAATGTTTACAAAAGTTAACTTCTGTTGTGCTGCCGCCGACAGACGAAATGAAGACACAAAGAAAGTGAATAGGTGAAAGAATACTATTGATGAACAGTGTCTACTGATATTTACTAACTAAGCAGATGAAGGTGAACTTATACTACTGTATGTAAATATATTCAGTGTAACATTATGCATTAGTTTTAGAAGCAACATCCAAATACGTACCTGGTAATTAGAGAAATAGAAAAGCGGTAGAAAATCTGATAATTTACCCAGTCAATTCCAAATTGAGCAAAAAATAGTTTCCAAGTATATAAACCCATTACGCGTTGATTATAACGGGAACTGTATCAACATGTCTTGCCTTAATTCACGAAATTAATAGTTCCCGAAGTAGTAGCAAGTGTATACATAAAGTTCCCTGTGACTTCCGTTTGAGCACTTTAACTCTTTAGATGTTAAAACAGACATGAAGCGATTTCGTCAGCTTCTCTTAGTAAAGTTTTACAAGATTGTACCGTATATTTTGTATGCTGCATTATAAAAGCCTACTTATATATGTAGCCCTCTACCTGTTATACATGCATTAACTACAGATAGGTGAATAAAATGAACTACTTATAAGACACTCTATTCAGTTTGTTACCTTATAACCCGATTATTTACATCACCATAAATTTATATCGCTGATTATTTATTTTATTATATATGAACTGCTTTTTATGTCGTATGAAAAATTCCTAATTGTTTCCAGAAACTTCTTGTAAATTCTTTTTTGTCTAGCATTATGTTCGTAAAATTTAGTCAAACTTCGCGATGTGCAAGCTGTTGTTTGTGTGTATCAAATAAACCGCCGTATCGATTGCCGTATGCGGCACTCATTCATAGCGAAGCTTTTAATTGATACTAATTACAGGGTGCAGGTTTCCCAGATGTTGTTACACAATAAAGTTCGGGGTTTTAGGCATCACAAGTTGTGTTATTGTGGTCGAGAACGAAGCTTTGGTAACACATATTTGTGTCAGTGCAACCCCGGAATTCCTCATATACAGTGTCTTCCATAAATGTTTAAGGAAAAACTCAAAATCTAAATAATTAAGAAAACAAATTATGTAGAACCCGAACTATTACTCATAGCAATAATCCATTTACTTTTTTCTCGAAGTGTCAGAAAATTATTTTTATTGTTTAGTTTTTGAAAAACATTTTGGAGAAATGAAGGTAATAATTTTACAGTACTTACCTATCTATGTATTGTAATAAAATTTATGAGCATTTATGAATTTTTGTACACAAACCAGACAGAATATAGTATAAATTGTTAGGTGGAATCATGTACATAAGTATTACGTCACTATTTAGCACTAATTGTAAATACGTTTAAAAAAGTCTTATTTCTAACATACGAAGAAGAAAAAGCATATTTTTAACTTGAATACATATCTTTCGCAGCAGTTACTTTTATTTATTCAGTGACTTCAAAAGACCTTTGTTCCATTTTTCAGTCAGAAATTTTTACTTTGGTATCTTTGAGGTCTTTTAAGATCAAATTTGTTTGAATTTGGATAAGAAATTGTTTTTACATTTCTCCTGTGCTTATATATAACTGTTAAACGTTTTATTTTTTTATTTTGATGGATGTAGTAAAAAATACGTATTTTTCTTTTGGAAGGGCGTATTTTATTAGGACAAAACAAAATTTGATGTGTTATTTCCTTGTAAAGTAATAGCATATTTAGGCAAATGAAAATAATGACAACAATAATTGTACTATTTTATTGCTTACAGTGTATATTAATACAACACGATGTTATTAAAGTGTTATCCATGAAATGTTTATATTTTATTAATGGCCATTAATAAAAGTTTCCTGTGGAAAAACACATTTACGGATGATTTGAAAATCTTCTTTGTTTATTGCATACAATGAGGACGAATGAATAGAAAAGTAAACTTACGGGGGGTGAAGTCAGTAAGCGAAGAGCAGCAGCTAACCGTTTAGAGTTTAAAGTGCAATTGTCTTCACCACCCTCCTCGTCCATAGATGCAATTTGAACCGAACACTGTCTTGTAACAGGAGACTTTTTTGCACCCCTCTCATTCGATCCATTACCTTTCGATGGTAAACGAAACGGGCACGAAGCCATTTTTCACTTTATTTCGAAAATTTACTCATGAGTTCAAAACAATTTCAAATTATTTCTGCATCTGCATTGTTACTTGTAAAATTTTAACATTGACAAATAGAATCTGTTTTAAGTAAGATCTGCAAGCGAAAAACAATTATCGGATCTTTTAAACGAAAATTTTTTTCGTTGTCGCGTATTTCGGGAAATTTTCGTCGCAAGTAAGGGAAACCGGGAAAACTTGGCGCAGATTCTCCTCGCGAGTGTGGTGCATTACTGAAGGCAACTGGCCAGATTTTAGCGGCACCTTACGCCCGCGCAGCTTGTATGTGGCCTACTGTTCATCGCTTTTTGCCAACACCTTCACCAAAAGATCAAGGAACAATTATTGCAGGCGTTGTCTTTCAAAGAACGTAATTGGCGTAGTCAATTCTTATTAAGCACACTCCTTAACTTACCTTTGTAATAAGAAATTATTAAAAATTACGACAACGATTTAAATTAATTAATTTATAGAGATAAATATCGCCTAACATTTCATGCATCATCGTCATCATAAGGTCGCCAGTCCTAAGACAGGTTAGACACGTACCTCCACTCTTTCCTATCCTGAGCTAATCTTCGCATTTCCCTAAAACTAGAACATCCCACATCCTTAACTATTTGCGAACAGTAATCTAACCTAGGTCTAACTCTACCCACTCCTAACTCCTGTTTCTGCCACTAATATGTCTCTGATTAGACCTTCCATAGAGTCCTCTGTTCTCTTATTCTTTCTAATACCTCTTCATTTCTAACCATTTCTACCCACGTTATCCTCATCATTCGTCTATAAAAGATATGCGTATTTCTATAATGATGTCAAATGTAAAATTTGACAACGAAATTGACTGAATAGCAAGAACAAAAATGGATGAAAATAATTTGTTGAAAATTCGGTCATAGATTTTCCAAAAAAATTTTTGTGTAAGTGGAATACCATGGTTACACAGTATCCGTAAATTTCTAATCAGGTCACTGGTACAAAGTTTGCTGATACAAATTGTTTACTTAAAAATGCAAGCTACCACCCACTTATCTACTGTGTCAGTAGGTCAATTAGCAACCGTTTAACTAGTGGAATCGATAATTGTAAGAAATTAAGTTGGTAGTCGTGAGTCGAACTCATGATGACCATGATGCAGGGTGGTGAGACGGCGTATCGTCTTCACTTATCCTATGATGGTTACCTGCCATTTCTACGTCCCCCAGTTATCTAATAAAATAGGCTAATATTATTATTATATTTTTGAATTATTAATCAACTATAATTAAACTGTTGACAAGTTATTCTAAATTATAAAATCGCTTTTAATATAATAAAATCGAAGTGGTCTCTATTCAGTCGAAACTGCCACACGCGGATTGCGATTTCGATCTTTTTGGATCTCATCATCTCTTAACAGCGCAAACACCACAAATGGCGCGTTAAACGCCATCTGTAGTACGATGCTACATTTTAAGATTACGTATGCTCCAACAAGGTCCATTCGACAGAATACAGACCACTTCGAATTATTTTATTCGATTATAGTAACGTGCCTATCACGTTGAGTTGGCTACACCGGGATTAGTTTCAGCAAGTAGATATCCATATATTTAAACGGACCTTGTTGGAGCATACGTAATCCTAAAATGTAGCAGCGTACTACAGATGACGTTTACCGCGGCGTTTGTAGTATTTTCTAATTCGCTTTTAATATAATATTAAATTGACTATATGCCAAATAAATTAAACAGATAAATTCGCTTCTGTGTGACACTGTATCAAACATAAGTACATGGTAACTGCTTTATAAATTGTTTGAATTTATTCTATCTATGTTAAGGTAAAACTTTTGTGTATTTTAGGAATTTGTAGGGTTTAAAAAATGTAAAAATTTACGTTTTACTCCCACTTTCAATAGCAGTAGGATTTTGTTCTTCCTCTAATTGTAAGCAAACTTCCACCCTAAATAATTGGCTTTTGAGTTATCGCTCTAGACAATAATTGCCGGAATGTAAATGGGTAAATAAATATCGCGCTTGTCATCAAATCCAATTATTTAAAATTAATGTTCCAACAAGTGAAATAACGGTGATTACCTTAAAAAATAACATAAACTCTTGTGTGACCTAAATATGCTTCAGAAAGTCAAACAATCAACTTTGTCTTGTGTTTAATACGGTAATTACACTTTTTACGGGCGGCATGAGAACTTCATTAGAATAAAAAATTAGTCCTCAAAACATCAGATAGAATTTGTGACGCGTTTTACTCAGAAACTATCATGCGGATGTGGTGAACAAACGTAAGACCAAAACAACACTAATACAGTCTTGATATTGGTCTTGGTTTAACACATTTTGGTCTTGTTCTTGCGAGACTTACTGAATCAATTTAGAATTATTAAAATTATAAGTATTATAAGCATATCCAAAAAGGCTCCGTTTGTTCTATTTCAAGATTATCCTTACATTTGCGAAATTTTGACATATCATTTCAAGGAGACAGCAGCTAAAAGGAACATTAAATTGTTTTCTCTTTTGATTTAAATCTACAAAATTACCATAACGATAAGGACATTCAACAGTTGGAGCATTCATTCGGGTACCCTGTAAGTACTTTGTTAATGAAACAATGTACTTTTGTTAATTCTATTGTGTTTATTTCAGAGCATTTTTCAAACTATTCTTATTTAATTTTATTATACAAAAAAACTGTTTGTTTATATTTACTCACATAAAATTTTCATTGTTACTTCATTATCATCATAAGGTCGTTAGTACTAAGACTGGTTGAACTCGCACCTCCACTCTTTCCTATCCTGCGCTAATCTTCGCATTTTCCTAAAGCTAGAGAAACTCACATCCTTAACTATTTGCGATCAGTAATCTAATCTAGGTCTACCTCTACTTCCTCTCCTAACTTCCGTTTCTGCCACTAATATGTCTCTGACTAGACCTTCATGCCTGAGAAGGTGTCCTACCAACTTATCTCGCCTACTTCTTATTGACTTCCATAGAGTCCTCTGTTCTCCTATTCCTTCTAATACTTCTTCATTTCTAACCTTCTCTATCCACGGTATCCTCATCATTCGTCTGTAAAACCACATTTTGAACGCTTCTAACCTTTTCTTCTCCGCTGCGCCCGCTGAAAAAAAAATGAAAATAACTATATTTAAATTAGTACAAGTGCACACCAAATTAAAGGTTTATAGAGAACTCGCCTAAATATATATATGTTGAGGTGATAAAATATGTTAACTTGATCTAGATGTTGGCGAGACGATGGATGAAATTGTTCTCTTCTAAATTTACTAATATTCTCAATATCTAAATTCTTATCCCTACTAGAAAAATGAGCCAGCCGAAACTGCTTCAAGTTGCATAACTATTGTCAGGGTAGTGAACTTTACCAACCCTGGAAATACCGAATGGTAATGAGCCTTTTTGGAACAGGCAATAAATGTGATAAAGTTTCTAGGTACCTGCACAAAAATAGTGCAGGAATTAAACAGAGTTTAGAAAAATTTGGTGAAGGCAGATTCTTGAAATTACAAGTAATAATATTGAGAACTGATTTCGGATAATTGATACAAATAAACAAATATACAATTATGATTAAAATATTCTAATCTTGGCATTTTCGAAAACTAAAACAACCTGCATCCTTAACTATTTGCTAACAGTAATATAAACTTTTATCTTTCTACCTCTGCTCCTTTTCTGATTTTTGGAATAGTTTGTTTAATCACTCAAATAAACACAAATTGAGCGCTGTCAATTAAACCTTTTTTCTAATACTTTAAATTTTTTTGATATGTATTAGGAATTTTCTACATTTTAATTGCGTAACACCTTTATAATATAATATACAATATTTTCATTGTTTTCAGTTTATCGGCGCTCCACTTTTCATGATACTTCGCTAGGCACTTGACATTGGCCTGGTCGAAGCTAAAAGGAAAGTAGAAAATAAAGCGGTTCCGATCGAAGACAGACATGTCATCAGTTTTCTCCTTCGGTACGTACCTACAAACACGTATATGTTTATGCTATATCCGTAAATACTTGGTATTATTCCATGCTTTTTCATCAGTTTTTAGGTCACGTCAAACTTTATTGTAATTTCAAGTAGTTTGACTAACAACAAGTAAATATCGAAATAGATATAGCTTCTTCTATAATTTGGATTAAACTCGAAATGGTAAACGTTAGTTAGCAACACGGAGAAAGGTAAATTTTTATGACAACGCAAAAATTAACAATTTTCGGTAGTAAGAAAATTTGTCGTAGAAAGAGTAGAATTTATTAGGTAACTTGTAATAATCTCAATTTTGACATGTTTCTTTAAAAACTATTTCACGTTTTTTACTTATTACAATTAAATTTGTACTATCAACTAAAAAACATAGTAAATTTATTTCTACTGGGATTTTATTTTTACAAATTCGGGTCCCAATTGTGATTTTTATTATCTAGAAATAAGAAAAATAAAATTACTTTTCTTTCAACTTCGTTACTGTCAAAAAAAAATTAGTCTCAGTAAAAAGAGAATCTCTATTCTGTTGCTATTAAGGATTAAATGTTGGAACGGGTGTCCTTTTGTGGCATTAGAATAAACCTAACGAAAAGAGAAATTGGAAAAATTGCTCGCTTTGTTACATTTGACAACAGCACAATGGTGACAGTATTAATGAACCTTTTCTTTCAAAAAAAAAAAGCTTATTTCTCTCACCAATACCAACGTTTCGCATTTTGATATAAAAGTATTATCAAGACTGCAAATAGTCAAAAAGTGCAGAGTACTTGTGGGTTACTTAGGTACTAGTCCTAAGTCAGTGATTTGTATTTGGCAATTTCCAAATGTGAATTCTGTTTGTTCCTACGTGATTTTCAATTATTTATATTATTGTTGAAGTTTTCAGGGATGATTGCACAATATCCCATCTGATCGGTCGTTTTCAATATTGGAATGACGGAATGGGCTATAAAGTTATCTGAATTACTCAACTTTATGACTATTTATTCGTGGTTCTTTTCATTTTTCAATAAACTTTCCGTATTCTAAGACTATTACATGCGTTCTAGAGGTTTGATAAGTATTAGTGATAAAAAATTGTAGGGGAGACCGGGGATGGTTGACTATAGGGGTAGGTAGACTAACAACCGAAAACTCGTCGACAGTGTATGAAGTTTGTCATCTGATCATAGCCAAGTATTACATTTTGCGTCCCGCTCAATTGTCTGAAGCGCCACATCGCGGTCGTGCGTCCTTTTCTAACAGTGACATGTTTTTCATATTTCAATCACATAAGTAATATTTTGATATATTGTATTTGTTGATCTGATGCCTACACGTTTTATGTAAATCGTTTTTCTATTAGTCCTAGCGTTTAATGAGGGCACATTGATCATATTTCATATCTTATTTTTCAAGTCAACGGTAGTGTTTAGGCTAGCCATGCGATCAAAATTAAAGATGGCGTGTGGGGCTAGTAGACCAATTCTTTTCGGGGCTGGTTGAATAATTATTCAGACATCTGAGACTCGAAAATGAGTGATAAGAGAATAACAAAGTTATGCCTAATTCTTGGAGAGAAAAATTGTTAGCTGGTGATGATTGGTTGGACTCTTCTTAAACGTCATCCTTCTCTATCAATCCGATCACCTCAAGCAACAAGCCTATCGAGAGCTACATCATTTAACAAAAGCAACGTTAATTTATTCTTTACTAACTTGACTACTGTTTACGATAATTTTGTTAAAGACATTTTAAGAAATGCTTATATGCCTGATTTAAGTTTAAAAGGTTCAATTATATTAAAAAAAAACGTTTAATTCTTTGCTCCTTCTCATGATTTAACTCTTATTGGTACATGAGTCAACTTACCCCGGGCATATGATCTACCTACCCCGGGCCAGGGGTAGATTGACTAAGATTTAGTATTTTGTAAAATGCATTAAATCATCACTATTATACTAAACTAAGAACTAAATATTACATATTTTTATTAGGTTAATAGATTTTCTATCAATTAACATGCTTTTCTTGTCTATATTCATTAAAACACAAAAAATATGAACTATTCAGTAAAAAACTAGTCAACCATCCCCGGTCTCCCCTAATCAGGTTTTAATTAACAATGC